GTCTGTACAATCTCTTTTATCGTATTAACCTCCTCTGTATTGGCTTTAGAGAAGATAACACTATCATCTGCAAAGAACAAATGTGATACAACTGGAGCTGATGGAGCCACTCTAATTCCATTATGTCGACTCGTCTCCACTGCATTACTAAGAAGACCAGACAAAGCCTCAGCACACAGAATAAACAGATATGGGGAAAGTGGATCACCTTGTCGTAAACCCTTAGCTGGGGTAAACTCCCCCGAAGGTGCACCATTTATCAGAACCGAAAAAGAAACTGTTGGGACACAATGTAGCACACGGTTCACCCATCCCTGCGCAAAACCCATCTTCTCCATTACCGCTCTAAAAAAACCCCACTCCACCCTATCATACATTTTCGCCATATCCAACTTCAGAGCCATCGAACCACTCTCGTTTCCTGAATTCTTCATATGATGAAACAACTCAAAGGCCACCAGAATATTATCAGTAATTAACCTTCCCGGGACAAAAGCACTCTGATTAACAGAAGTAATCTTAGGTAGAAAAATTTTCAGACGATTGGCCAGCACCTTAGTAATCAACTTATAAACTACATTACAGAGACTAATAGGCATAAAATCAGACATACACTCTGCATCCTTCTTTTTCGGAATTAAAACAATAAAAGTTTTATTAATAAATTCCGGCATAACCTCACCGTTAAGCACACAAAGAACCAAATTAGTCACTACAGGACCAACAATATGCCAATAAGTCTGAAAAAATAAGGGGCACATACCATCCGGGCCGGGAGCCTTCAACGGGTGCATTTGTTTAAGAGCCAACACCACCTTGTCTTTTGAATAAGAAGCACATAGACCTGCATTCATCTCATCGGAAACCCTTCTCTCCACACCCGCCAATGCCTCATCAAAATGTTCCGGCGACGAAGATGAAAACAAAGTCTGAAAATAATTAGTGGCCACCCCTTGAATCTCCTCCACACCCCCGTATCTAATCCCATCTTCCGTTACCAAAGACACAATTCTGTTTTTACTCCGCCTCTGCGAAGCTTTTCAATGAAAATAGCTCGAATTGCGATCCCCCGCTTCCAACCATAATGCCCTCGACCTCTGCCTCCAATATATCTCTTCTTGATGAAGCAAGTTACTAATTTCACGCACTACCCCCCTTTATTCAACACGCCCAGCCTTTTCCTTTTTTCCCTAATTTCTCTAAATATTTTCCCAAACTCCCTATTACTCCAAAACCGCAACTCTGCAGCACAAGCCTCCAATTTCTGCTCCAATAATGCTCCCCCAAGCTGCCACGCGTGAGCTATTACCTCCTCACAACCCTCATGTTCAGACCATAGCTGCTCGAACTGAAAGAGTTTCTCCTCCACCCTCTTGTCAACCCCTTCCTTGTAACACCCCAATAATTCTCCCTTTTCCAAACCACTTACTTTAAATAAAAATAGAGGAGAACCATTGGCATGTTACCGCCACGTGTTAAAACGTTAAGGCTCTATCAAAGTATTGCAGCGGAAATCCAACTTAAATGTTAAAATAATAAAATTTAGAAAACCAATAAGTCAAAGCTTACAAGTTGGAACCATAAAGGCCCTTATTTAAAACCAAACCAATAATTAAAGTCCCAAAACATAATTAAAGTAGTAAAACATAAATAAGTTCAACACAAAGAACGAATACTCTCAATCACACCAATCTCTTGACAATGCGTATGTCAAATCACCGATTTTGACATCATCAAGCTAACCTGTGCAATACTGCTCCCCAATAATACAAGTGTAATAATTGGATCATCACAGGGTCATTGAAAGGCGAAGGCCATGACCAAAAGAAAACACACAAAAGCACGCAATCAGCAAAGTTGAGTACATACAAGCTACAACGCACAAAACCTAGCATGCTCAACTAGTTAAAGTAAATAAATATACAACTCGAATTCATTAATCAAGACTCCACACTTAAACAATTCAATCGACTCAACATACTTGCTAATCAATTCCAAACACTTGACTCTTTATATTTAATTTAATTAATTTAATTTGGAGTAAGCAATAGACGAGGTTGTCCAATCCACCAAATCATTTTGGTCCCAAATGACCATTTAAAATAAAAGTTTAGCGCGATGCAAGAATGGGCGCGACTCCATTCTCACAAAGTTAGTCTAGGATCCCATCTAACTTTCATTATAAAATAAAAAGTAAATACCAAAATAAAAGAGGACATGTTGATCAAACAAGCCTCGGAACGTGTACCCCAACCCATAATTGTCAATACTCTAGAAGTGCACGCTTTCTAGAGTTTTATTGCTCATCCATGTTTCACTTTACGTGATTACAATTTTAATTAATAGCCGACTCAATCAAACATACCATACATAAAAATCATACATCAATTTACTTTTAATCTTATTTAGGACAATGGTGATCACATCACAAATTGGCCTTTAATTTCATTAAACTTCCAAATTATCCAAATTGTTGAACATAATCAACCCACCTAGCCATTTCGGCTTAATCCACTTTTACTCAACATACTAACAAGTCATGCTTGATTAATAAATAAAATAAATAACAACCTTGTGGAATAATTAATAAATTCATTCCACTTAAATCATTCAATTCCAATCCTTTAATAATCCAAATGTGGTTAACAAACCAATCCAATAAAATTATGCTTGTATCAACATTCCATACAAACAATTAATCCAATATAATTCAACATGTTTGCATCCATAATTCCATACAAACATAATCATTTCACCAAAACATGTCTCATAAACATAAGCACATGAATTAATTAAATGTATAACCAAACAATTTTCATCCAAGTGTTCTCTAATCATAAAACTAAGTTATTTTCTTTGGTACCTAAACATGATACTACTTACAACGAAGTAGACGCGTACGTACCTCGTGTAAACATTCCTTTGTGCCACTTTTAATCACTTAAAAGTCTCCTAAGGAATAATCACCTCCTAGAAAACAACCAATAATCACAAATTAACACTTAAACAAATTTCCAGCAATATAAATTTGATTAAAAGTTCTTAAAACTTCCTTAAAAATATTTTTTTATGCTTAATTAATCAATAGAAATCCAATAGGAACAAAAGCCCCAATTTAATAAGTCATAAGAACCCTAAAATCCCAATTTAAATAAATTGAAACCCTAGGTTTTAAAATTATAAAATCTGAAAATTATAACAACAATTATAATCTGAAATTATTAGTTTAAAACATCAAAAACATGATTTTGATACTAAAAATATAAACTTTATACTATAAAATCAAAACCCAAAACTAATTAATCAAACATTAAGCATAAATGAAATAAAACAAAGGAGAGAGAGAGAGGGGCGGCAGCCAAGGTGGGCGCTGCTGCTGGTGTGGTTGTCGGCGGCGGTAAGGAGGCGCCGATGGTGGCTAGGCGGCAGGTGGTGTGAGTGAGGATTTCCTCACGTGAAGGAGGAGGAAAGGGAAAGAAGAAAAAAAAGAAAAGAAAAGAAAAAGGGAAAAGAAGGGAAAAAAAATAAAAGAAAAGAAAAATAAAGGGAAAATAAGAGAAATAAAATAAAGAGAAGAGAGTTTACTAACCTTTTTGTGTGGGGAAAAAATTGGGGATGTATGGGGTATTTATAGGAGAGAGAGTGGTGTAGGGTAAGTAGTAAAATTGGGCCTCAAAATTAATGGATCAATTAAGTAAAGTGGGTTAGGTTTGTTTGTTAGGACATAAATTATAGAATGAAGGTATGTATAAAAGTTTGTACCAAAATAATTTTCGACCCAAAATTAAAAATTGAAACTTTTGAAATTAAATTCCAGAAAAATACAAATAAATATTATAAATAATATATAATTTCATTTATAATATATTTTAAAAATATGGGGGATTACACTCCTGCTCATCCAAAATAACTTTGATCGGAGCATGGTCCGACCACTCCCGCTATGAATAACAAGTCCCTAACTCCGTGGAAAGGCATCCACCCAACACTGATTTGCAAGAGCACGATCAAGGCGACATTGTACATTATCATCGCCCCATTGTCCATTATCATATGTAAAAGAGTAACCACTATGAGGAATGTCACGCAATTGGCATGAATCAACAACCTCTCGAAAATTCTCCATTTGCCACATTGCCCTATCCCTCCCACCTTTCTTCTCGGAGTCCGAAATAATCTCGTTATAATCCCCTGCACAAATCCACGGACTATCATCTTCATTAGCCAAACCGACCAACAAACTCCATGAAAGATGACGATGATGGACCTCTGGCCACCCATAAAATCCAGTCAACCGCCATCTAATAGGACCAATTCCCTTCACGACATTCACATCATTGTGGTGTAAGGACATAGAACGAAGCTCCACCTCAAAATCCTTCAGCCAAAACATCGCTACACCCCCCGCTCTCCCCCTACTGTCAACTGCTAATCCTTTATATCCAACAAGTTTTGAACGAATTTTCACCATCTCACCACTACTCAGTTTCGTCTCCATCAAGAAAATGAAAGACGGGGCCTCTCTCCGTACTAATTTTCGGAGATTGTTAACTGCAGAAGTATTGCCCAGCCCTCTACAGTTAATACACAAAATACTCATGGAGCTCTGCGGGACTGTTCATCGACAGTCTCCGCCAATCACCAACCATCAGAAGAGTTATCCATCATCACCTTCTTACTCATCACCTCCCCCTCCACTAATCCTATATTAAACTCCCTGTTCCTTTTTCCCAGTAATTTATTCTTATCAACGTCCATCACAATGCCCCCCTCCCCTCCCTTTTCTTTAATATTTTTCCTCCACCCTTTCCCAGCAACCTTGCCCCCACTCCCACCCTTCCCCACATTGAACTCCCCTGGCTGCTGCCCCAACACTCTCACTACTCACCTCAACTCTCACCCCATTCACCTGATCAACATCATTCGTATCCATCAAATTACCCTTCAACGCCCCATCAACATCCCCCTCATTCACTAACTGCTCCTCTAAACCCACACTATCACTTCCAAGAGGGCTTCGAATGCACGTCAGAGGTGACTTCCCCATAAACCTCTTTATTCTTCCTACTCATCGAACCAGGCTGCTCAAAATACCCATTCCCCTCTAACACATCAAGCTCCTGCACTTCCTTATTAGCAATTTCATCATCCTCCACCTTGTTATGTCGAGTAATAAAGAATTGTTTTCGAGTTGATAAAACCGCCTCCACCTCCTCTAGCTCCTTCATTCTCCCCTTTCTAGGAGATGCCTTAAGCCATCTCCCCCACTCCAACTGCTTCTTCTTGGCTTCTTCAGAAATCATCGCGCAATCTCGCTCCGAATGGCCTATGACACCACACGCATAACAGAAAAAAGGAAGGCGTTCATATGTAAATTCAACAATAGCCTCTTTGCCTCCCTTATCTCTGATTTTTTGATATCTTCTTAATGGTTTCGGCACATTAATCATTACCCTCACTCTCCGAAACCGATCAAGCCCCAAAACATCTTTTTCAATCTCCATTAAATCCCCCAAATTTATCACCAGCTCACGCACATCATTATCCGATCGACAATTAAATGGCAAATTTCTTAGTCGAACCCAAAAAGGGGAATGGAACAGAGACACTTGCTCGGGTTGTTCGCCTCCCTCAATCTCTTTGAGCACCAGTAACATATTATCGAAACACCATGGTCTACCCGTCAAAACTTTCTCCTTATCCCTCCAATGGAAGAATTGGAATACATAAAGATTAGGGCTCAAAGTTCTAATAATCAATTTGTTCGATAGGGTCCAAACCTTAATCATCGTCGATTTGAACGCCTCCACGTTATATGGTCTATTAGTTACGAGTCTGCCTATTAGCATCAAATTAAACTTCTCCGTCAATTGTTCAGATTCCACCACACCTAAGTCAACAACGCCACCCTCCTCTTCATCCAGATGAAGGTTAGCATATCGAGAAACAATTTCATCTGCCATAACCCAGCCAGAGAGCGACCAAGAATGGAGGAAGATCCGGTACACCGGCAGCAAGACCCTAGGCAAGTAGAGAGTATGACCCTTTCTTTCAAGGGAGATTATTTAAGTCATCTCGTCTAAAATATACTACATAATCAATTAATTAAAAAATTATTAAACTATTACTTTTTTAAATAAACGGGTCAGGCGGACTAGCCCACGGTATAAGTGGGCGAGAGAGCCCATAATTGTAAAGCCCACAAAATCTACCGGGAAAATGTTGGCGCAAAATCTTTTCCCGCCAAAAAACCCTAATTCACTCCCTCTTTCTTCTCCATTTATAATTTATATACCCCATTTTTCCTTCCTTCATTTCTTCAACCTCCAGTTTCTCTCTCTACTGTAATCCATTTTCCAGCAATAACCCAGAAAACTTCAACTTTCTCCCTCCTCTAAAACCAACAAATTCATCCAAAAATGGAGTCTTGGGAATCATCACTACCAATAGTAAAAACAACTCCCTACAAGAACAACCACCCTCATTCTCTCTCCTCTTCTTCACTTACTACTCCCATGGTTGCTACTCCTGAACCCCGTCAGATCCGCATTGCTAAATCCAAACGCGCCGCTTTTGATTCCGGGTCGGATCGTCCCAAGCTCAGTAATGGAGTTTCTGGGATCAGCAATGGATTATTGCCCCAAAAGTATGTTTGATTCTACTTTCTTTTACTTTTTCTTTTTTTATTTGTGTGATTTTTAATTTAATTAGTTCAACATTTTATGAATGAGCTATTTTTCAGGAGTTTTAAATTTTATTTTTTTTGGGCTTTACATTGTGATGGGTGTTAATTGATGTTAATGTGATTAATTTTTCGAGGTTGATTGTAGAAATTATTTAAATTTATGACGAGAATTGTGAATTTGGGATTTTGGGTGTTCAACATATGTCGGAAATTAGGAATTTAATATTTGGTACTAGGTTGATGTTCTTTCTTTTCGAAAATTAGATTTTATTTGAGTTTAATCTGCATTCCATTTGTTTTATTTGGTGATATTGAAGAACTAATTTGGTGTTTTTTAAGAACTAATTTGATAACTTCTTGAATCCAATGAAGTTAGGGTTTTTTTTTATCCCCTAATAAATGTGTTATCAAGCTACAATTGAATGATTGGAGCAATTGAAAATAATCTTTAGGTTTAGGGTTCCGGTGTTTTTATTTACTTTGTTGTTATTTTGTATGCAAAACTTGTATGAATCTGAGACCTTGTTTTAGCTTGATTAGTTAGGAATAGAATTTTAGTTCCGATTCCGGGTCGGATCCTCGCACCTTATGAATCTGATGACAAATTGACAATTGTGCATTTCAAATGATATTGGAGTTATTTGTTTTATTGTTCTTTGAAAAATGAGGTATTGCTAATTGAGGTGATATGGTTTTATGATGCTTGTTAACAGTTGAACAATATACTTATCCTATAATGTCTTAATCAACAGGTATGAGATGCTATTCAAGTTCTTCAATGCAATGATTAGTTCAATTCGGCTACTCCGACTAAAAAAATTGCCATCAACACTTACTCGGCTTTCTCGTAGTGTTGAGTCATTGACGAATAGGTAAATACACAACTCAGCTGTTCAGCAATCAGTAATTCAATATTACTTTACAATAACAATATTTTTATTTCTGCATAGTAATTGTTATTTTTCAGTTCATCTAGCTAAATTGTTGTGGAATTTCTCTAAATAATATTGTATTTCTCTTAATAATATTATAGGAGGTTTACATTACATCACTTGGCTCAATTGAAGCACATCATGCCAGAGGTGATTATGGTAAAGAAAATCCGTGTTCAAGATAGAGAAACAAATTGTATGAAGGAGGATCTTCTTGTGTCTCTTGACGTAAATGTAGTGGCAACTGATGAGAACGTGAAAGGCAATGGTGGATTTTCTCAGTTGAAAGAGATCTTCCAGTCACGACTCACTCATTATTTCAGAACCCATGATGAGGTATTTATGTTTTTCCTAAATTAACTTTTGGTACATTTTTTTTAACATTATAGTTCTATGAATTTATTGAGTGATTTTTTGTTTCTATTCAGGATGATATTGTTCCTGGGGGAGAATTACCGCATTTGTTCTATCAGCCAAAGCAGGAACCTGAACCAAGCTTGTGTAGAACCCCTGCTGCACCAGCAGAGTTGCACATTGCTCCGTCTTTTAAGAAGCGTTTCTCATCAAGGTCTCTGGGTGCTTCAGTCTCTGAGTCCTCTCCAGCAAAGCCATCTTGCTTGTCGGATACCCTCATAAAGGAGGACACTGTCATTGAGGCTAAAGATGAATCTTCCATTAGCTTAGTCGAATTTAATGCGGAGCCTTCCAAGCTTGTTTCAACACCGGCCAAACTTGTTTTAACGCCTGCCAAACTCACTTCAACACCTGTCAAATTCGCTTCAACGCCTGTAAAACTCGACTCAACACCAGCAAGGCTGATGGCAGCCACACCTGTATTGCTACCACCAAAACGCCCTCTGATGACCCCAGATCATGATTGTTGTAGTGATGTACCCAACAAGTCAGCTAAGCGTAGGGCCCTAAACTTTGACCAGAGCAGCAATGATATTGAGGATCAACTCAGTCAAGTTGGGGAGGAAGAAATCTGCTGCCCAGCTCAAGGCTCTAATGTTTCCAAGGATGTCCTGAACGTGCTTCCAGATGACCTTTTACAATCGGTAAGTTAGTTTATGCTTTCTTGTTCTGATTGTGCTGCATAATTTATGTTTGGTAAACATTGTATGAGAAGAATCTAAATCAATAATCCTACTGCAGTTGATAGAAAAAGAACAGAAAATCTTAGAAGACCAGGGCTTGGCAGTCTCACAAGAAAAAAGGCGGCAACAACTGATGGCTGGAGTACCTAAACTCTTTGACATGATTCTTCTTTTGTTCCAGTCTATCAGGCGTCCCATTGTCACGAAAGAGGAACTTATTTACAAACTAATTACTGGCCATTTAGACATAGTTGATAAATGTAAGGGTTTGCTTCATCCTCTTGAGTTTTGAAACTAACTTGGAACATTTTGTTGCTGTTCTGACTAGAATAATCGTGATCTTTGTTTGCAGATGAGGTCGAAGCGCAGTTTCAGTTGCTAAGAGAAGTTGCCCCAGAATGCATATCTGAACAACAGTCTCTCAGCGGAGATACTCTTCTTCGGTAGGTTCTCTTGAATTCTTTTTTCAATCAATTGACTCTCAAGTCTCAACAAGAGCACCTCAATATATTCTACGTGTTACTAGTGATGGTCTGATGTTCGTATTTTATGACAATTGCAGCCTCAACAAAGCTTCATGTCCGGAATCAATACGTGCCAAGCTGTTATCAGCAATTTGAGACTTCAAGGCTTTTGAGTCTGACTATATGAGAAAAAGTAAATAGGATTTTTTTTTTTATTTATTTCCTTTTTTGCTATTTAAGGTGATATGGATGAATCATGTATGTAAGATGTAACCCTTCAGCCATATTGCAGGTTGTATATGCTTAGTGCATGCCTAATTGGCTAATTTACCTTATTTATAAAGATCAGTTTTCTGATTTCATAGTGTCCACCAAATGTTTATTTCCACTTACATATCTTCCTAATATACAGGTTCATTTTGCTCAATCTGCTCTTCATTTAAGTACCATGGGTGATTAATGATTGTATTCACAAGGATTATCCATAAAAGGGAATTTCTATTAAATCCCAAAAACAATGAAGATACAGGCGTATACTTTCATCCACACTGAAGAGAAAATAGGGAGTATCAACTCAACTCGACCTTGCTTGTGCACCTTTGACATTATCCTTGCTGTTTATGAACCCAGATTCAATTTGTTCATACAAAAAACTAGCATTGTCAGCAACTTCAGCAGTGGTTTCATCATCTATCCTGCACAGCTGCTCACCTACGAGAATCAGACAGCTGAAATGATGTATCAGGTTCTGTGTAATCTCTGTAGATGCAGAAAACAAACTAATCTGAGAAACATGCTCCTGAATCCTGAATTCCTGATATTGAATCAAAGATATAAAAAGAAAAAGCAAAAAAGGTTGTTTAAGAGTTTAAGATCATAAACTGCATCAAGGTCTGACAATCAAATTCCTTACCATCTCGAGTATGAAATTGAAGAAGACACATCTTATTGCAAAGAACACCGCCCCATCTGAAATTCGGTCCATGAGTCTAAAAAATAGTGAGAATTCTTAGTCTCTTTCAATCATGACAAAAAATATCAATAATTCTCCTGCACTTTAAATACTGTCTACGTGGTTATGGGCAATGTATTACATGCACTAGCACATCAAGTACTTTTTCGAAGCTGAAACCCAGATACCACTTCATGTTATAGATATAGAGATGAAAGGGTATGGCAGGGCAGCTTCATAAAATGAGTCTGAAAGCTAAACAAGGAAGGCCATGGTGGTTGTTGAACTAATCATTCTCCCTAAGAGGCTATGCGAGTGACTGAAATTGGATGATTACTATTGCAAATTAGACATAAAATTGAATGTACTTGAACAAAATAACTAGGGATGATTTTGATCATTTTCAACATATAGTCAATAATTTGGATTGTTTTCTCTAATCTTCCTTTTTCTTTTTGGAAAGGAAATTACTTCTATTTTCTGTAACATTACAAGATTTTGGCATTCACACTATTCAAAGTTCAAACACTTAACTTTGACTTTTTTTTCTTATAGTTTATATGCTTAAAACTTGTGAATAAAGTAGGTTAGTGGAATTTTGCCAAACACATCGTTTTTTACACCTTTTGTTCCTTAATGTTTGCTCTAATTTTCTTTTTAGCTTTGTCCCTTTAAGTTTGTCCCATATTACTTTGTGAAACATTACAATTTTATTCTCATTACACTTTGTCGCACCACTTCTCTAATTCTCTCTCCCATCAATTTCTCCGAACCAAAAATTAAAAATGTGACTTTTACTCGGGGGGACAAACAAAACGGGATTTTTGAGTAATTATCATGAGTCATACTTCGTTTTTTCAGCCGTTATACTTTCACATATACTTTTGAGCTTCCATGTTTACCTCTGATTTTGATCCATACAACTATACAAGTCCAGGGTGAAAATCATTTTGGATGTTAAAAGTGTCTAAAATTAGAGATGTCATTATTGTTTTGAACTTCAAAGAGGTACATATCACAATCAAAAAAATACAACAGAGAACGTATTTGTTTAGCTGTTTTTTTTGGGAATTTGTAGAAGATAAATCTTATTTCTTCAATCATAGAAGTATGAAGTTAGAATATACACAAGATCTAAGAAGCACTACTTTCTTAGCGTTACTATTGGAAGTTTGGAACTATTGGACGATAATCATAATGCATTTAGCACAAGAGAACTTTGAGATGTAACTTCTTTTTCCTTTCCAAAATGAAATAAATATTCTACAAAAAAGGGAACAACATATAGGAGGTAGAAAGCAAAGAATTGCAAACATCCCCTACGCTCCATTGCACAAAAAGGAATGTTTCTCGTACATATAAAGACATACTATAGTACACTTGCCACCATTGATGAGGCATTGTAGAAAATACACAAAGGATAGAATTAAAGAATCACCAAGTCTTCCACCACCACCACAAAGATGAACACTAGCACCGGTGCTCCATTTATGAGATGCCAGTAAGCATTGAGGATGAGTGCCCTGGAAATAAAATACTTTCTTCCCTCCAAATTGCAAAAGAATTCCACCCAGCGTCTTCGGAAGGAAATGCTCAGGGGCAGGATATATATGTTACCATATTAATCACTTCTGCATATTGAATCTGTACAGAGGTTTAATCCACATTTCTTCTCCCGTAGAAGACTTCCTTCTCTTACTGCTACGGCATGAGTATTCTTCAGAGCACTAACCATCTATCAAGTCTTTGGAAAACTCTTTCCAAATGTCCAGAAATATGTACACAAATCAAGCATGGCCAGCCACTTCTGCAGCTCGCTGTCTCATCATCTCCATCACAGCTGCTCGTCTACGAGAATCAGATTGCTGTTGCAACCGTCTTAGATGTTCTTTCAAATCTCTGCAGATAGGTAAAAAATAAAACATAAAAAGCTTGAGAAATACACTCCACTTATCTGATGAATAATAGGGTAATGAGGAAACAAATTTTCTTCCAGTAACTAAGAGCTTGAGCTACAAACCTGCATCGAGGTACGTGACAATCAGATTCTTTACAAGCTCTAGCATGAAGTTGAAGAAGATACCACATCTTCTTGCAAAGAACACAACCCCCAGATGCACGAATTCTACACTGTATCCCATGACGAAATAGACCTTTAACCTTCCGACAATTGAGATACTGGCAATGTGGTGAACGGCACTGTGATGCATGCACCAGCAGATCAAGCATCTTTCGGAGCTGGACCATGTAGCATATCATATTAGTACAAGATGCAGAGAGAGAGCTGCACTTTGGAACTTAAGGAGATCATAAAGTCAAGTTGGACAGATGCATAATTCTTACATAAATAATACAACTATAACACAGCCTCTCCCTAATGGTATTTAACCAAATAACAAAAAGAAAAACATATTTTAAAACTTTCTTCAAATCTAAGTCAGGATATTCACTAGAGTAACTTTCTTATTCTAACACAACTTCCTCTTAATAGTACTTATATTTTGTTTTTTTTTTTTTCCGTTAGGATCCATGATAAATAGCCAATCACCTTTTTCATCAGGTAAAAGTGCATAGGCATTCATTGATTCTAGAAGGATAAAAATACGAGAAATTTTCTGGGGAAGGAGATAGGAGAGAGGTATGTTCACCTCTTCATGAGTGGGAAAAGAAGTGTGACACGATAATACTTAACTAAGTATATATCTAATGAATTTAGGTGTTAGCAGTAGCTAAATGACCACTTATCTTCAGAAACAGCAAAGTTGGGAGGAAAATTATGTTTGTAAAGATAATATATGCTCCCTCAGTTCTCATTTATGTGTCCTCTGAAGTTTGGATACGCATAATTAGAGTAAGCAGTAAGTACTAGGGTAGTGTGTAGGGTTATTTAATAGACAGGAGAAGTAAAAAGAAAAAAAAAAAGAGAAACAGTTAGTGAAGGGCCCCACATCATATATACTTGCATATATATGACACTCTTCCAGAGGACTCTGAACATGACAATAATCATAAATCAAGTGATAAGCTGTTAATAAGTGCGCAAAATAACCACAAGGAAAAAGAATAGTGTCATATTGTAGTGCTATTCTAGTACTGCAATGTTTTCTCATATCTCCCTCATATCCATAACCACCATGGTAACTTATGATGCTATCAAACCACCACTATTGAATATCCAACTTGCCACCATCTACTTCTAGCCTAACCACTATCCTCCATAAACCATGACAACATATTTACATAGCAATAATAAGCTTAGGTATCCTGTTTTCTCTGGATAAATATGTAGTAAATAAAAATGGATAGCAGTTATGGACAACAATTATATATAAATCCTGCACATTGCACGAGACAAAATATACAGGTTAAAAAACCCACAAAAGATTTGTGGATATTTTTGGCAGGTGTATAATAGATAATCTTCCAAGTAAGGAGAGGGGGGTGGGGGGGGGGGAGGTGTTAAGGGGAATGCAAATAGTGGTACCTGTACAACACGTTGTTGTCTTGCTTCCTTGTTTTGAGCATCACGATCAGCCGCGGAAGGATGATTCGTCAGCTTATGAGGATGATCCCTACCTCCATCCTTTTGGTAACAAGAATTGCAAATATCATAATCTGGACAAGTTTCACAACGCCAACCTTGACCAGTCTCAATATCAAGATGACATATGTTGCATGTTATCACAAATGCTGGGGCAGTTGGATTATGAAGATGGTAAAGCACCATCATGGAAGAATGTTTAGCACGACGCAGAGTATCATACTGATAGTGATTCCCCTGGCAAAGACTCAAAAATGCCTGTCGGGTATCAAAAAATTCACTCTCAAGAATCTCATCTTTATCCTTGGTATCTTCTGGCACATCAGCAATCTCAACCTAGATCATTAGCATAAGAATTCAAATCAACAAAAAATGCAAGATAATCATACTCCCTCCGTTTCTTTACTAATGACCTACTTGGATTCCAATGCAAATGGAACCTAATTCTTTAAGCATATATATATATATCAAAACACAGTCGTGTGAACTTGTTAGGTTCGTCTCAATTTTAAGTTTCCACGTAAAACGTACCTAAAGACATTATCATTAATTTATTACAATATTGCATAGGAAACTGAGCAAGATTCCAAATGAGACAGCCAAATATAAACAGAGGGAGAGTATAATCACTATATTACTCATTCAAATCCAACAGGCACAACAGCTTACCAGATAAAGTGCATGCTTGTCCTTCTGGTTGATAGGATGTCTTTCTCTATCGTCACGCTTTTGTTCTGTTTCATAGCACCTACAATAAAAATAACTCAAGTTTAACTATACAATTATACATAAATAAATCCAAATCCCTATTTTTCAAGTCAGGGAGTTCATTGATATAATTCCCTAATTCCCTTTACAATGTACATGTAACAACTTCATCCAGCAATATATATATATATATACATACATATATATATATATATATATATATATATATATATATATATATATATATATATATATATATATATATATATATAGTCAAAGAAAACAAAAGATAGGTTTATTTGCAAAAGACCAGAATAAAACTTGCTCGGAAATCCAAAATTCTGAAATAGCACTATTTAAAGCTAATTCATAACAAGATTGTGGCTGTAAGTCAGGGGTGTCCATTATTCGGATAAAAACCGAAATCCAATCTAATCCAAACCGAATAATTAATTCAGATTGGATCCAAATTTTAATTCGGATCGGATCTTATTGAAATTTTTTAAAAATTGGATTTTCGGATCGGATAGGATTGACCTTGTTTGGATCCAAAGATCCGAATTAACCGAAATATAAAACCATGCTTTTACAAATATTGATTGTTTATATCAATCATGTAAAATTATGTTGATAACTAAATTAATATAAATTATGTAAAACTATGTTTTCAATACTTGTACTACCTTTGATTTTTTTTTTTTTAGTTGCAACTTCGGAACATTTTATATCTCTCAAATAATACCCCAAAGTTGCAACTAAAAAAAAAAAAAATCAGATGTAGTATTAATAATGTACAAATTTATAATTGCTTTTTTATTTTTATACAGAGTAATCACTTTAGACTCTAAAAATTTGCAATGTATAATAATTCGGATTTTCGGATTGGATCCAAATACCGAATTGTAATTCAGATTGGATCGGATCGGATTAATGAAAAATTCAGATCGGATTGGATTTGAAAATTAAAAACC